CATAGGCCAACAGAAATAATGGTGCTGGAAAAACTAGCTTTCCACATGCTGAAGGCTAAAACTGGACCCATGCCTAACACCATGCACAAAGCTACAGTCAAAATGGATCAAAGATTTAAATATTAAAACAGAAACACTGTCTGTGTGTGTGTGTGTGTGTGTGTGTGTGTGTGCGCGCGCACAGGGTCTCACTACGCAGCTGGCACTTCCAGTGAGCCTGCTGTCTTCAGCCTCACCAGCTTTGCAATTACAGGCGAGTGCCACCACAGCTGGACTCTGTCACCAGCTCAGCGCACCCGGGGGGAGGGGCAAGCACTGCATGAAGTTCCACAATTTTACGTTGTCTTCCAGAGTCATCTAAGAACTCTCCAGTCAATTTCTCATTAATTTTTTGTTGTTCCAAAGAGTAGCACTGGGTCATCCACTGCACCATTCTTGTCCTCGAGTTCTGATAAGCTCTCTTCCGATTGGTCAGATCTGCTGCCAAGGCTTTAGTTGGGTTTTTCATTTCCAGGGGTTGTGCTTTAGTGTGCTTTTTTTATTCTTTATCATGACCATAAATTCTTTACTAGGGTGTGCATCTGTACCTTGAATTATTGTATTCAACTCAGTCAGCTGTTTGAGGCTTCTTTAAGCTTATTGAACCTCTTACTGATTAAAACTTTCATCTGCTTATTTATATCATCTTTGAGTTCTTTGAACATTGAAATTGGCTTCTTTTCTGATCTCCTCAAACATTTAACCGTTTGTTTTATGAGTTCTTTCCTGGACACTTTCTCCACTTTACTACCTATCAGATAGCATTAGGGGAGTTAAAAACTTGGAGGCATTTAATTGTCTCATTTTTCATTGTTAAATGCCAGAGAATGATGTTGAGCTGGGGTAGAAAAACCTGCTGGTAGAGATTCCTACCACTGAATTGTGAACAGAGGACAGTCACTGGTAATATCCACCTGAAAAGAACCAATCCTAGATGTGTCTGATGCAGAGCTCGTTTATCAAGTTTTGAACTCTTACAATAATACAAGAGTACAAAAGATTACAAATGGTTGAGAAAAGGCTCTAAGATACAAGGTAAAAAGGATTTAAAAATAAATCAAAGGGGGCCGGGGAGATGGCTCAGTAGAATAAGCGCTTGCCTGGCAAGCTCAGGGGCCTGAGTTCAATCCCCAGTTCCACAATAAAGAAAGAAAGAAAGAAATAAAGAAAGAAAGAAAGAAAGAAAGAAAGAAAGAAAGAAAGAAAGATTGAGAAAAATAGGTGACTAAAAAGAAAGTCTGACAGAAGGAAGAAATCAGTGCTTACTGACATTTTTACATGCATAAAGGGGGAGGAGTGGGTGTTTGACAGGATACAAATGAGAGTAGAAAGAAAAGAGGAAAGGGAGAGATTTATCAGTGGAAAACTAGTGCAGTCTGTATGAAGACTCTATTCAATTTATGTGTAGGAGAAAACCTAACTAAAAGACCTAAGCAACACATTTTGGCGAAGGAGAACTTAGCAGGTCAATGTGAGACATTGGAGAAAACTCATCCACACTTGCTTATAGACACACTGTTCTCAATAGACTGTAAACTAGCAAAAAACAGAAAGATTAAGTTTTAATAACAGCTTCTATATAAAAAGAAGGGGAGAGGAGGGGAGGGCACTGTGACAGCGCCAGGGGAGGGGAAGGGAGGTAAGAGAGTGGCAGGGGAGATCTAGGTGGACTGTGAGGGCCGGGGAGACAGCTCACTAGAATAAGTGCCTGCCTGGCAAGCACACAATCCTGAGTTCAATCCCCAGTAACACACACACACACACACACACACACACACACACACACACACACACCATACCGTTAGGTGGATCGTGAGAGAGGAAACAGAACTGGAGCACAATCCGTGACCCCACTAATGCTGTATGAGCAGCACCATACAGCAACTCTTGGCGGGCAGGAACGTTAACGCAATGTGCTAAAACACTGCAGATCTTAGATTACTCTGAGCAGTTTATGTATAAAAGAGAGGAAGAGGTAGAAAGACAGAGGCAAAAAATAAGTGCAAACTGTAAGATGGAAGAGCTGATAGATAAGAGAAGGTATAAGGAGAAAATAATTAAAATTGATAAATCCCTAGCCAATCTTATCAAAATAAAAAAAAGAAAGAAAAACTTCAAATTCATGCTTAGTAAGGAAAAAAAGGGTAAAATCACTACAGATCCTGTGGAAATTCAGAAGATCATCAATACCTCCTTTGAAAAGCTTTACACTCATAGGATGGAAAACACAGAAGAAGGAGCCAGCCAAATAGCTCAGCGGATTAAAGTACCTGCAAGCAGGTGCAGGAACCCGGGATTCGATCCCTGGGCCTGCTGTGCCAGCCCCGCGCCCAGGGCACCCTGAGACAGCAATTGAGACTGGGCGTGGTGGTGCACGCCTGTAGTCCCAGCTCTTGGGAGACTATAAACAGATGGATCACTACGAGTCAAATCTAGTAGTGAGACCCTGAACACCCTGTAGACCCTTCCCTAAGATACAAAAGAAAGAAAGAAAGAAGAAAAGAAAAAGAAAACACAGAAGATATGGGCAAGTTTCTAGATATGTATGAGTTAGCAAAGCTGAATAAAGAAGATATAAAAATCCTACATAACTCAGTACCAATGAAATTGAAAATGTAATTAGAAACTTACCAACAAAGAAAAGCTCAGTTCCTGATAGGTTTGCAGCTGAATTTTACAAGAAATTTAGAGAAGATTTAACACCAGTTCTTCTCAAAGTCTTTAACGAAATTGAAAGAGAAACCATTCTCCCTAACTCACCCCTAGAGGAAAATATTACCCTGATACCAAAACCAAAGAAAGACTCAACCAAACCATGAACAACAGGCCAATCTCCCTAACGAACATAGATGCAAAAACTCTCTAATAATTAAACACCAGCAAACAGAATTCAGCAAATCACTGAGAAGGTTAAATATCAGGAGCAAGTCAAATTCATCCAGGAATGTAGGAATGGTTCAGTGTACACGAAGCAATCAATGTACCGCCATCTAGTGGTTTTGCGATATTAAAGCTTCTAAATTGAGCTCTTGCGTTCTTTGTGGTCATCCAAACATGATGGTATTTTTGACTGGGAATTTAGCCAGATACTTGCACAGCTCCCGCCCCTTGCTACCTTATCTGCTGGTTCCTGTGCATAGGCCACGCCCACCAGCCCTGTTGATTCTATTAAAGCCTCTACAGTGCCATCTGACCTGCATCACACCAAAGGGGGCAGCAAGATGGTGTCCCAGACCCCAGTCCTCCTGGCTCTGTTGCTCTGCTGCGTCTCTGGTGAGAAATTGCAACGTTCCATCAACATCTCAGAGTGATATCTTTGTAGAGTTGAAAATAACTTTAAAAAGAAGTGGGGAAGAACGCCATTACTAATGTGAATTCAAATATGGGCTATCTCAGAATAGCACTAGAAAGTGTATTTTAAATGTTTAATTGCAGTATTTATATGAGGAAAATCTCATATGTATATGCATGTGCAACTGTTATTCATTCCTTTTTGCAGGTGTCTGCAGTGACATCGTGCTGACCCAGTCTCCAACCTCCCTGGCAGTGTCTCCTGGAGAGAGCGCCACCATCCACTGCAAGGCCAGCCAGAGCCTTCTATACAGCAGTGACAAGAAGAACTACTTAGCCTGGTACCAGCAGAAACCAGGACAGTCTCCCAGACTGCTCATCTACTACGCGTCCACCAGGGCATCTGGGGTCCCAGACCGGTTCAGTGGCAGTGGGTCTGGGAAGGATTTCACTCTCACCATCAGCAGCCTGCAGGCTGATGATGTGGCTGATTATTACTGTCTGCAGAGTTATAGCTCCCCTCCCACAGTGATTCAGACTCGAACATAAACTTCCTCTCAGGGTCTCCCCAGCTGCCTCAGGGTCACCTGAGACACTGTGCCCTGCTCTATGCATGAAAGGTTCTGCAGACCTTAGTAGAAAATAAGGAATCCCTGTATCTCTTTATCCTTTTGTTATGGGAAGTGTATATGAGAAATGTAGTAAAGACTTCTGTGTTAGTTTCCATCTTTTATGTATCAGTTTACTGTAAGCTCTGTGGCTTTAACATAAGAATTCATCATTTTAACTCTTTTGGAAGATCTCTAAAAGGGAAATAATTGGGTCAATTGGAACACCTCGTCCTACCTTTCTGAGGCATCCCCGTCCTGATTTCCACAGTGGCTGCACCAATTTGCTCTCCCACCAACAGCGGAGCAGGGTGCCTACTTCCCCATGGCCTCAGCAGCATTTGTTATTGGTTGCCTTCTTGATGTTAGCCATTCTTTCTAGAGTGAGATGGAATCTCAGTGTTGCTTTAATTTGCATTTCTTGAATGACCAGTGGTGTTGATCATTCTTTCATGAATTTATTTGCTGTTTGGATTTCCTTAATCTAAGAAGTGTCTATTTCAGATGCTCACATTTGAACTGGGTCACAGCAATAAATGCACACCCGGGTAAGTGGCACACTGCACGATACCTAAATCTTGGCACCAGCCCATCTGCTCCTTACTAGATTAACAGCTAAGGAAAATGCGGTTCGTAAGCACAGTGGAATACTACTCTGCCATGAAGGAGGATAAACCTGAGACAGTTTTAGGTAGGTGGATACATCTTGAGAACACAATTTTAAGTGAACTACAAGCCACACTCTAAATTTTGCATTGTAACCCTCTGTGAGAAACCAAAGGATAAATAAGGATGAGAATGGAGGGTAGATGTTGGGCAGGAGGAAGAAAATGTCCCAGTGGGAAGGTGAACAGGGAGGGGGCATGGGGATGGGAGAGAAGGGGATGGGATACAAATGAAAAAGAATGGCAGGAAGACAATATAAACAATGTTCTGTAAATGGAGAGAGAAAGGATTGAAAGGAAGAGAATGGGAGTAGAATAACTACGGAGTGTTACGTATAGGTGCAGATTCCAAATGATAAGTATGTAGGTCAAAAGCTACCAATAAAATTCATTTAAAAAAAAAAAAGGAATCTCATCATTTTATAGCTCAAACTCGGTGGGCTGAAGCCCAGTCGCTCTCAGGCTCAGCCCCCTGTACAGCCTCCAGGTGGGCATCTGTCCCTGGCTGTCTCGCTGCTCCAGGGCTCGCGCATACCCTGGCCAGTAGCCCTGCTCCTGCACGTTCAGAGCCGCACAGTCCAGCTCTCCGACGCTGGCTCCAGCACCTCATCTTCCTCCGCAGCTTCCTACCTGACTTCACACTGACAATGAGTGTAGTCTCTGTAGCCTGGAGTATGGCTTGTGTGCTGCACTTGGTTCAGAAGGGCTGGGTGTAAGGGTGGATTCTAACGACTACAAGGGCACTGGGGCCCCTTAGGTGGGTGACAGAAACAATGTTGCACAAAAATGTTCTGTATGAGCCTGTTTTCAATATGTGGAGACAATAATGGACAGATGACGTGCTTAGAGCTTCATGACATGCATCGAGCTTCCCAGATTTAAAACTCTGAGATTGGGGCTGGTGAGATGGCTCAGTGGTCTAAAGCACCTACTTAGAACAAGCTTAGCAAAGCACAGGGACCGCGGTTCAGGCCCCCAGCACCACATGCCAG